GGTTAAGTTGAACATCTTATTGCTCCTCGCTTGTGAACCGCTTCGGTAGCCCTGCCTTTTCGTCTTCTTTGAACAATGGATGTCAAGGGGTTTCAATATATGAAAAACGCACCCTATTCTTATTGGGACTTTCTATGCACTACAGTCAAGTCACTTAATCAACATGGTCTGCATTGCCGAATGCAGTTTTGTTGGGTCCTAATAAAACAAGGTTATCTGCACAACGTTTGTACCCAGGCGTGTGTAGTGTGTTTGTGAGATTTTCCCGTCTATTTTTTTGTATTTTTGTTCGAATTTTTTTTGGATCTTATATTTATGTGGCTCAGCATGTTGTTTTCCGTGCTAACTTTTGCTATGCTTTTTTGATCTGTTTCTCTAGCTGTCTTTGTATCCTTCGATAGGTCGTGCATGACTTCTGCCTGTAGTGGCGGGTGCATCTAGTTTTTTTCAAATCTAAACACGCGTGTTTTGCACTCTCCTAATTTAATTTGATTGGTGAACTAGCTGTTGCTATGTTTAAAGTGATGTGTTTGTTTTCTTCTCATGTGGCCTCAAAAAGTATTTTTTTTTTCTCTATGTGGAGTTATCCTTATTGTTTTTATAATTTTGGCTACGCCAGATGCTACTTTGAGTTGTGTAATATTTGGATCGGTCATCAGAACTCCTATTCAGCTTTTCTGTGTTTGAATCAATCGTTCGAATACCCCTAAAAACCTATGCTATAGACCGGATAATAACAGGGTTATGCTGTTTGCTTTGCAGCATTTTCAAAACTTTTTTACCTCTGAATGCTTGTGCTGAGTCGCATCTTACTTTGTTGGTACTCCGTTTTTTTCTAATGTATCTTTGCATAAGTTTCAGACCACATCTGCTGTGGTGTTAGATAGTATCTCAGTGGTTAAAGTTTTTAACCATTTGTTTATCGCCATAAGCGATTTCAGAGTTTGCACGATGGACCTATGGATGTGCGGGAACCATATGATCGTAGAGATCAAGCACTGGAGCGGACTCAGGGAGCGTTCGGTGGTTGCTTTCAAGCACTGTCTGTATCAATTGTGTGGGGAGATCAACCCTTTTCTCGGTCAATAATCAGTCTGTCCTGACGTGCAATTTGTTTTGTATTTTCGACAGTGAAACCCGTATGAGCATTTCAAATAATCTCTATACAATGGCTCTCTATACAATGACGTGTCTTCTTCAGTTTCTGTGTGTTAATGAACTAGTTATCTTTTCCCCAAAACTCCATTTTTGTCGTCTTTTGTTTTTGTGGCAAATTCCCGTAAGTTAGTCATCAGCTTTCCAGCTTGTACGATCGTCATCGTAATTTCCACTTATTGTTATTCAATTGTTGCTCAGGTTTGGTAATTTGATGTATTTTAAGTGAAAACTGTTTTTGGGAAGGATGGAACAGATGCGACACACATGCGACACCATTTTTATTCAAATATACGTCTGGATTTTTTTCCGGATTGTCCATCTTGGGTGTGTTTGTTGCAGTTGTTGTAGAGTTGAAGATGTCCAGCGTTCGCATGTGGAAGTTGTTGTTCATCTGTGCCGTCCTGGGCTAGACAGCCTTTCTTCTCGGTCAGTCAGAGTCTTCCATTCAGATAATTTTTGAAAGTCCATCCGGGGTTTTTCGCTGGGAATTTCGATTGCCACTTTTTTTACTGTCTGAGATAAAGCCCCTGTTAAATGCTTTTTAGTCATTCCTTCTTTGCACTTTTTTTTGTAGTCGATCAATTTCAAGCTTTGAGAGTAGTTTTGTCTTGATATCTGAGATTTCTTTTTCCTGTCAGTCGGCTTACGTATGGTTAAATGAGCAAATGATGGTTTATATTTTGTTTTGCTTAGCCGCATTGTGATTAATCGGAATGTCTGAATTGGTTCGTTAAATTTTTTTCGCACCCTCTCTGATCAGCTGATACGTTGCTCGTTTCTCATTGGCTAAGCTGCTTAGATTTGGATTGTCAATCATCTCCAGATTGGAAAGCAAGGAGATGATTGAGGCCACCACAAATTCTTTGTCGTACTAAAAGGGGGTAGGGTCTTCTAACCAGATTTTTAGAAATATCGTCATTTTGTCCCATCTTTGTTCCTGCTAAGCCTTTGATGTCACTTCGTGAAAAAAACTAGTCGGTCAATCCAACTTGTAAGCCCACTTTGATTCTTCTCTAGCGTTTAATGTGCTGGTCAAAGCTTGGTTTTCTATGATGATGGTAAAAAAAGTTTCCCGCACAAATAGTATTTGAAATGTTCTCTAATCCAGACTACCGTTATAACTCTTGTTCATTTACTGAATATTGTTTTTTTAACGAGTTCAAAATCTCACAAAAGCGTAAGCAATTGCAACCCAGTCCCTTCGATTAACTGTTCTAGTGCTGCTCCGAGTCCGCAGTTGATGCATCATAGACCATGCAAGATTCCAAGTTTTGATCAGAATGCTTTTTTTTCTGGTATTTTCGACATCAAATTTATTTTACTGTTTAACTTAAATTGTATTTTAGAAGTGATTTTAAGGCTACTGTGGTCTGATTTAGATGTGGAATGTGTCATGTTAGGTGATGAATTGACCCCTAAAAGTTTTTGGCTTAAATTTTATAAATGGAGTTAGTTTGTTTTGCCCCTAATTTTTGCTTCAATTGTTTAGTTCAGTGAATATTGATACTATATTTTAGCCACTAATCTTTTCTTCATGCTTATTGTTTTTAATAAATGATATAGACAGATTGTCTTCATCTATTTTCAGTAAGACTGTTTTGGGCGTCTCTTGTGTTAATCTGTTGAAATTTTTGTCACAATGAGCATGTCTTCTAGA